CCCCACTCCACCCGGCACTCTCTCTCACACACTCACAAACACAATACACAGACCACACATACACAAAGCATCCGTCACACATGTCGGAAAATCTTAGCCACTGTCGTCCGCCGCCACCGCCCTCAATCTCCTCCTTCCTCAGCCGCTACATACGGGAGCTCAACGGTCGTCCTCGTCCGTCCGTGGCCACACCACTGCTCGCCGCATCTCTTGAAGGTGTCGCCGTCACCGTCATGCGACTTATTCTCCACCCACGGCAAGCCCGCCTGACCTCCACGACGGCTCTGACAGACATCCATATCGGCTTGTACCAGCAGCGACGCCGACTTCAACTCTCCCCTGACAGTTTCCGGCGACTGCATATTGCACACATGAAGTTCGTCCCAGTGAACACCCGCCGGAGAAGACAACCACATCGCCTCGTCAGTTGTTCGTCGCCAGCCATCTCCCTCCATCCTCGCCGGAATCGAGACGGGAGATGAGGTTGTTGATGACGAATCCTGCCATGGAGTCACTAACTGGAGCCCGTTAGTCGCGGCCATGGGAACTCAGACGGCGGAGACGATGGAAGGCATAGGGCGACGACGGAAAGAAGTTGTTTTCCGGCAAGGAGAAGATAGGGGCTCTAATTTGCTGCAGCTTAATTGTGGGGCACAAATATGTAAATTAGACAAGAATGAAGGGTTTGATTGCAAATGCAGATAATTTGTTTATATTTCAATTAAACTTTGGACCAATTTATAATTTATAATAAGTACATAAAATTTTATTATTTTTAATATATAAAAATATATTATTTATTTTATATAAAAAAATAACATAAAATTATTAAATAAAAATATTAAAATAATACATATAATTTTATAACATATATAATAAATAAATTTGATTATGGTACATAAAAAGTAATTGCACTGCTCGTTAATGATTGACGGAATGCACAATAGTGTTAGACCAAAAGCACATTAATGCATATGATAATGCACATTATCACAGCATTGTGCATTTTTCACATAATAAAAAATTAATGTAAAAATATTAAATAAAATTATTCAAGTATTAAATATTTTTTTTATAATGTAAAAAAATAAATTATTTATAATAATTAAGATAATTTGATTAGAATAAATCGCGTATTACAATCCGATTTTATTTTGGTTGGGCAAAATTTTGGTAGGTACAGACGCACAATAGCGACTAAAATATTGCAAATTAGTGTTAGACATTATGTACATTAATATGTGACAAAGCACATTTTTAAAATTCAAGCTATTTTGACTTCAATAATTTCAATTGGAAAGAAGATATTTAGATAATATTATAATTTATGTATTTCGATCGTTTGGATCAATATTGAAATAACCGCGCTATATGAAAAAATATTATTAGTATGGTTTATGTAATTTGATGTATTGCGAGTGCACGTTATGATTATATAGACTGCACGCTAAAAAATTTGGCTAAATTGATTCGGTTCTATTTTAGATTTGCACAAACAAAAAAAAAATTGACATAATGCAAAACAGTTTTAAACATTTTTTCATATTAGTAAAAATCAAACTGCACAATAATGATATAACGAATGCAGATTAATATGTTAGAGAATGCACAATAGTTGATGAGATTTCGTTTTTTTTCAAGAATAGGACGTAATTTTTTTTTTGTGCATTTTATCATACCATATTGTGCATCTTATATATCATTAATGTGCATTTATTGCATGTTTAATAAATTACAAAAGTACCTCACATATTAAAATGTTATATAGTAAAAATTAGTAAATTGCAACTAAGTCCTTATTATTTGTCTAATTTCCAAAAACAAGTCCCATGTACTAAAAAAAACAAGGAAAAGGGTAAAAAACAGCAAAAATCTGAAATCACACACACCCACGTTCGACTACAGCCAGCAGTCGGACGCCCGCCGTCGCAAGCCCCATCGACCGACTTCTTTTTCGGCCGCTACCGCCACCGCCACCGCCGCCGCCTCACGACCTGGAAACAAGTCTTAGTCGTCGGCAAGGAGCTTCGGCCGTGAAATGTCGGCCCCGCCCGCCTTCGACCACCCCATCGCGAGGTCGTCTTGTCCAGCCAGAGTCGTCGCCAGCGCCGCCACGACATTTCAGACTGGAAACAGGTCGCCGTCGCCGGCGAGGTGCTGTTGTCGTGACTGCAGGATTCGGTCGTGGCTCTCGACGGCATAATAGCCTAGTCGGATTGTTGTTGTCAGAGTGAACGAGACGACCACGAACGCCGGGACCGTCGGCATGGTGGCCGCGCCGGGCGGCGTAGTCGGGGGCGGGTTGCGACGACAGTTTGCTGGGTGAAAGCACCTTTGATGGCTGGGTCCGGCGGAACTCTGGGCGGCGTCCGCCGTGTGTCGTCTGTGTGTGTGTATGTGTGCGCCTCTGTAGATTCGGTTTTAACGTGTGGAGATAGATTAGGTGAGAGAGAGAGTATGATGAGAGAGAGAATGGGTGGTTAATTGTTGAGTGGGTCCCACTTATTTTATTATATGTGTATTTACCACATTACCCTTAATTATTGGTCAAATACACATATTTGACCCACTATGATCAAATATTTATCACATTGCCATTAATGATTGACTACATTTTGACTCCATCTTAATCATTGATATGATTAATCACATGGACCAGATTTATTCTTATTTCTTTCCTAGATCACCATTCTCATG